AGGGAGCTGGGCTGGAACCGGGCTGAAGGGGGTGGGGGTGGCCAGCCAGGGGAGGGGGCTGTAGCACTGGGGCTGGGATGGGGCTGCCCCAGGTTGGAGGGAGATTGGGCTCCCCCCCCCGGCTGCGGGAGGCCAGACTCAGGGCTGGGAGACTTGTCCTGGGAGCAGGGGGCGCTGGTACCCCTGGGGTGCAGGTGGGCCACAGCTGCAAGGCTCTTTTCTCCCAGGGGGCCCAGCCCCCTCGGACTAAGCTGCTGGTTCCCCCCGAAGCAGCCTGTCCCCGGCCCCAGTGTCTGACCTTGACTCTCCCCTCCTCTGCTCTCTCCCAGGACGGGACTATGCAGCGCAGGCGGCCGCCGCCGCCAAGCCCGGGGTTGCCACGGGCCGCATCGTGGCTGTCATCGGCGCCGTGGTGGACGTCCAGTTCGACGAGGGGCTGCCCCCGATCCTGAACGCCCTTGAGGTGCAGGGCAGGGACACCAGGCTGGTGCTGGAAGTGGCCCAGCATCTGGGTAAGTGGCGGCTCCTCCGGGTCTGTAACTGGCATAGGGCCGAGGCCTCCCTCCTTCACTGATGATCCAGCGTGATGACTTTCGTTCTTCTGAGCGTGCTGAAGCCAGGTCTTTGATCTGAGGAGGAGCCGGCTTAAAATGGCTGCTGGCCTGGATCTGTCTAGGAAGAAGCTACAGCGGGGGATGCTGTGAAAACTGTTCCCAGGGACTCCTGGCATGTCGCCTGCTCTGATGTCCCTTCCACCTTGGGTACTTATGCAGCCTCCAGTACCAGAGGCTAAGCGACTTGCCCAAGGTCACCCACGTGTGTCACAGCAGGGAGCTGAATGTAGCTCTCCCAGGTTAGAGCCCTAACCACTAGGCATCCCTGGAACAGAGATACTCTCCCCCCTCTCCCTCTCCGGCCCCCCCCCCCCCCCCCCGAGGCACCTCTGTGCTTGCTGTGGTCAGTCAGGACAGGTTTTGCAGCCACTGTCTTGTTACCTGTGATGGCCTTTATGTAGCATCCATGTAATGCTCCTTTCCCATGCGCTGGCAGGTGAGAACACGGTTCGTACCATCGCCATGGATGGTACCGAAGGCTTGGTGAGAGGACAGAAAGTGCTGGACTCCGGGGCCCCAATCAGAATCCCCGTAGGCCCCGAGACCCTTGGTAGAATCATGAATGTGATTGGGGAGCCTATCGACGAGAGAGGCCCCATAACGACCAAACAGTAAGTGCAAACGGTCTCCAGTCTCGCAGGGCGGGGGAGAAGGAGCAAGCCCCTGCAAATCCGAACTGAAAGAGGCTGGGCTGCATGAGAGAATGTGGGGCGGGTATTGTCACAGGCCCTCTGGGCCTTCTTAAATGGCTGTGAGTTTGCAGTCCCTCCACTGGGACTTGTATGGCAGGAGCTAAACTGAACATCCGGTGTCTTCTCCCAATTCAGTCACTTTTACCCTTCGGTTTCAACAGTGCCTTGAATCCAGCCACCGTGGGTCCCCGTTGCCTAGGTGCGGTACAAACGCAGAGAAGCAGTGAGGTGGCACTGAACCTCTGCTAAGAGCTGCCCTCAAAAAGAGAGACCCCAACGGCTCGTTGTTTTCTCCAGCTGCGGCCGCCTGCCCGCGGCACGCAGCAGGGTGTGCCCTAGCAGGCCTTGAATGCCATCCACCCAGGCCATCCGCCTTCTGCAAGCTGACGTGCTTCCCTGGGCCCCTGTCTTGCAGGTTTGCTGCTATCCACGCCGAAGCCCCGGAGTTTGTTGAGATGAGCGTAGAGCAAGAAATCCTGGTCACCGGCATCAAGGTGGTGGACCTGCTGGCGCCGTACGCCAAGGGCGGCAAAATTGGTACGTTGCAGATCAAAGGGGCCATGTGGGGGACGGAGGCGGGGTTCCGGGAGGGGGTCAGCGCATGGGTCATGGAGCTGGGCTCCCTTTTAGAGCTTAGGAAGCCACCCTGAGCCTTTGTTACTGGGGGGGGGGGGGGGGCAGTAAGAGGAGCTTGGTGGGTTCGGAAGTAGTGTCCATTCCTGCCCTTGCTAACGTGCCCTGTTTCCTTCGCTGATGAGTAACCTGATGACTTTCGTTCTTCTGAGTTTGCTGAAGCCACTATCTACTTTCTGAGAAGGAAAAAGGGGCGGGGGCAGGGAGAGCCTCGTGGCAAAGCAGTTGCTTTTCAGGGCGCTATTGAGCTAACCAACCCCACCCACTCCCCCCTCGCCCAGGTCTGTTCGGCGGCGCCGGCGTGGGCAAGACCGTGCTGATCATGGAGCTGATCAACAACGTGGCGAAAGCCCACGGTGGCTACTCGGTGTTCGCTGGCGTCGGGGAGCGAACCCGCGAAGGGAACGACTTGTACCATGAAATGATCGAGTCGGGGGTCATCAACCTGAAGGACACAACCTCCAAGGTGAGGGGGCGCCCCTGGTTAAGGTCCCAGGGGGTCGAGCTGCTCTGCTGTGTTTGCCCAGGAGCAAAAGCCGAACCCTCGCGTCTGCGCAGCCTACCCTGAGCAGTGCTGTGTGGATGGCCAAGCAAAGAGCCTCTGGGTCAGCCCCACTGGGGAAACGCATGGTCCTTGGGGGCAGAGCTAGGAGGTTCTTGGGTGGGGCCTGGTAACACCTTCGCTCCCCTTATGCTGCAGGTCGCCCTGGTTTACGGGCAGATGAATGAGCCCCCGGGTGCCCGCGCCAGGGTCGCACTGACGGGGCTGACAGTGGCAGAGTACTTCAGGGACCAGGAGGGCCAGGACGTGCTGCTCTTCATAGACAACATCTTCCGGTTCACGCAGGCTGGATCTGAGGTATGGTGGCAGGGCAGCACCAGGGAGCCATGGTCACCTGACTGGCAGGTCCCCTGGCCAATGGGGTGAGCTGGGGAACATTGGCCACCAGCAAAAAGGGAGGGCAGGGGGGAGGAACTCTCCCTGTAGCTCCAGATGGCTCTTCTCTGTGGCTCACGTGGAACTGCCCTGCCTCGTCCAATCCACGTGAAAGGCTCCCCTCTGGGCAAGGCCGTCCGTGTCTCTGCAGCCTCCGCCTGACCTGGCCCTGCTCCCTTTCAGGTCTCCGCCTTGCTTGGCAGAATCCCCTCAGCCGTGGGGTACCAGCCCACCCTGGCAACTGACATGGGCACCATGCAGGAGCGGATCACCACCACCCGCAAGGGCTCCATCACCTCCGTGCAGGTAACCGGCTCCCGAGAGGCCCTTGTTCTGGGGAGTGGCCGCTCAGTGCCCGCTCAGACACAGCGGCCTCTCCCGGCTCATCGAGGGGTTTCCCGTCGTGCCGGCCGTAGCATGACATCATCGGCATCTCCCTTGTGGCCTAGGCGATCTATGTGCCAGCTGATGACTTGACCGACCCTGCCCCTGCCACCACATTTGCCCATTTGGACGCCACGACTGTGTTGTCGCGCGCCATTGCTGAGCTGGGCATCTACCCTGCCGTCGATCCGCTGGACTCCACCTCCCGCATCATGGACCCCAACATCGTGGGGCAGGAGCACTATGACGTGGCCCGGGGGGTGCAGAAGATCTTACAGGTGAGAGCTGTTACA